AACGTTTGGACAAGTTCTCTAAAATGAATAATTGCCACCATCCGCCATTTCCAGAGAAATTACATACCTAAAATTATCACATTTTGAAAAAATTCGAACGAAATCACTCTTTGAAAATATCTCAATGACAGAACAAAATACGGCCTGTTTGACTTGTACTTCTACGTACTTGATTGACATGTTAAATTAAGAAACAAACAATTCTGTCCAATCGTTAACTCTCTTATCAATATAATATGTTAATTTAGAGGATTTCAAGTGCTAGTAGTGAAAAAAAATAGTATATATACCACGGTAGAGAAGTCTCTTATTGCCTTCGCACCTTACACCCCTCGGCGCAAGCGCCTCGAAATGTAATCTTGGTGCTCAGGCAATAATACTGTACTTCTCTATCTTGATATATAATGTACTATTCTTTATGATTAATTTCTACTTATAGAATCCATTGGCAGAGAAATTTGTACTAATTAACACAACTAGGAAATTCAAATTGGCATTAAACCAGAATCAACCCCTTTCTATGGATCATTGTTAATATAGTATGATTTTCCGATGACGATTTCTCTGTATCAAAATACCAAATAAGATTAGAAATAAGTTGTATTTTGGGAAAGACAGGCACGATAATTTTAATAATTTAATAATTTTTGATTATATTGAAAAATATTGATTTATTCTCCTGCGGAATTTTTGTTAGTTGCACTTCCAAAAAAAATTTGACGCAAACGTGTATTTCCAGGCAGATAACTCGAACGATATGTACGTCAAAACCAACGACGCGCACAATCTGCTGAGGCCCGAGTTCATCGAAAGTCTCTGGTACATGTATCAAATAACGAAGAACGCCACATATCAAGATTGGGGTTGGAACATCTTTCAGGCGTTCGAGAAGTACACGAAGGTAGTGAACGGCTACACGTCGATCGGTAACGTACGTAACACGGCAAATGTTCGTCCCAAAGATTTGATGGAATCATTTTTTCTTAGCGAAACCTTAAAGTATTTATATTTATTATTTAGTAGTAATCCTAAGCTGTTAGATATTGATAAATACGTTGTGAATTCTGAGGCTCATCCTCTACCTATATATTCATCGTGATCTATAAAGCAATAGTCAGTGTTATCTAGTCTTAATGAAAGCGTAGTAGAATTGAAAATTTTGATTGTTAGGTAATTGTTTTTATTTATGTGGTGAGGATAATAGGTTATAGTGATCATTAGTGGAAATCTGTGTGGTTTGAAGAATCTGTTTTGTGTTGTATGTATCAAAGAGTGTGTAAGAAGGATGTAACGGTATTTTGTATCTACGTATTACATACTCTTTGATTGTGTCGCATGGTTATCAATGTTAAAAAAAAGTCTGATTAGTTAAATGTTGTCTTGCACAGTATTAACCATTACAACTGACTTTCAATGGTATTAATTCACATTCCTAAACATTTTCCCAGTTAGGCTATTATTACCACCAGGCAAATTCAAACTGCATTTTTTGTACTTCCATTAGTATTAATTTGTCGTGACAAATTTCCCAAGTGGGTTTGTAAATTATATAGTAGCAGTTATGCTAGTAAACAAACTAGTTGCTACATTCCTTCACTTACGTCCCATTATTTATAAATGGAAAGTAGTCAACTAATTTGTTTGCTAATATGATTAGTATGTATGCAATAAGTGTGTAGATTTTTTTCCAGGCAGCAGTAGAAGTGCGTAATAATATCATCTTCGTCCGTATTACTCAGTATTATTATTAACAATGGTTGTTTACTTATTATATTTGGAAGAGCATAATATTAAAATTGCGACAGTATTATCGATGAATATGTAAATACTCTTGCCAGATGTGAAAACATCTTCAATTTTTTGTATAGAGATTTGATTACCATGTGACCTGCTTGAAATCAATTTTATGATGAATGTTCAGTTGTTACGTGCATGTAATTTAACATTAATTTATTCTTAACTTAATTGAATTGTATTTATTGTAAATAGTTGAAATTATGTTGTTTTGTTGTAACACAGGATGCCAATATACAGTGGATTGTGTCATATAGGCGTTTAGTGCTAATGACACATTCAGTGTAGTTGTTTTGCATATTGTTCATTTTAAACATGTATCTGCAATCAGCTGTTTTAGACAAGTAAATCCTCTCGATATTGCTATTCTGTGATGGACTATGATTATTAAAAGTAAAAATTGATATTAATGCCTTTTTCCAGTTTTCTAGGTTCTTTCAAACGTTTTTTAAACCTTTATCATGGCTTTCTAGTTAAAATTAGGCCAAACAACAGCTTTTTACGTAAGCGAGCACCAACCCTTACTAACATTAACTCATTAACAACCTCACTTTTTGAGAGTAGTAACGCTCTCACAATTTTTGATCGCGTGAAATGATAATCAAAAGTGTCCCTAACAATTTGCAATCATTAACAATTATATAATACAATAAATCGATAATCCGAGGTAATTGGGGATAATTGGATGTTGTGAAACTTAGATTACACGGAAACAGTGGAACATGATTCCTACAAAGTTACAGACAATAACACACCACTGATCTATTTTTAGAACTAGGCCTGTGAGAGTCTTGGTACCATTAACCTTAAATTGTCCCCTGTTGGCGTGGGGTGAGTAGCGCAGAATATTGCAGGGGTGAACCAATCACATGACAATAAAATAAGGTTTTGAGTTTCTCACGTTATAACAGTCTAAAGTTTGCATAATGGATCTTTAATCGGCAACAAAAGGCGATTGGTGGGAAATAAAATCAATGGAGACACGCATCAAGTTATCATTAATCCTGGATTGTACGCTAGTTACTGAAAGAGAACACTGCGTCCTTGTTGACTTCTTAGAACATACACGATCAAAGATCCAATATACAAACTATATTGCTGTATGTAATGGCCCCTGCCAGAGTGAACCATACACAAAACAACTGAAACCTAATTACCTAACTAGCTCTCTAATTAAATCTCTCCTAGTACAGATCCGTATCCCGGCATAATAAAAAAAATTCAATTTTGACTAAATTCCAGATTCCAAGCAAACAATGGTCATGATCAAATTCCTTAAACTCCAAAAGGATCACTTACCAAATTTTGAAGACACTTGAAATGAAGTTTGGGCACAGCTCAACATAATTTAGCATGAGACATCTATCTGAATTGTTAAAGGGATCGATTAAACACACGATTTGCATGATTTCACATAGGCTAAATTGGACTAACCAGCGTCCAAAACAAACTATACGTACAGGCGTGCATCACATGCGGAGACTGGTGAAACGAATTTATTTTTCGAAACGCAACTTTAAAGTCTCCTAACGTTTTCATTTGTGGAGGTATTATAATGGTTCTTTTGCATTATTGTTTTACTTACATTTTCAAAATTAATGTAGGTGTAACAAAAAAATAGAAATTTCTCCATTCTTCTTCATATGGGCAGGTAATCTTGATTGAAATGAGAAATTTGATTGCCGTGGGTTTATAGTTGGGTGTTTGTCACTTGTCAGTGGAAATTAATTTCTTTGTTATATGTATTAGGAAAAATCCTCAGTAAGCACTTGCACCAAATTGTTATAATTATACGTCTCTAACAATAGGGCTGATTGAACTGAAGTTACTATGGTAAATATTGACATTTTTAGTTATAATTTCGCCACTTGATACGATTTTATTTAAATCTCGCGATTTATTTAATACGATAAGACTGCAACGCAAGGTTTTTCTTGGTCAGCACATTTACTTTCGTATTCAAAAGAAGTCTTATTATTTATTTAGGTTTTGCAACACATTAAAGAATTTTGAATTTCCTCTTTTTGGTTTATCACATAATACTGATCCTTTGCAGGTAGATTAAAATGTAACTTCTCCGGTAAATTGGGGAAACTTTTTAACAACTTTACTTTTACCAAAACCATTGTATATTTACCTAAACTATACCTTTGTATAAGTTCCCTTTTTTAATGAAGCGACTTTTTTTCCAAAATGCGTAATATTTTAATATTTTTCTACACAACTTTACAAATAAACAAGACAGGCTGCCTTTTCAAATAGGTACACCAAAACGAAGGGATACGTTTCAAACGTCCATCATCAACAAAGCTACGGTTAACGTCCGTCTCTTTTATTTATATCAATTTCCCTTTATTTTCAATTTTCTCATCCAACCTGCACTTGTGCTTTCGTATCTTCAAACTAATCAAGTTACGCCGCGCTAACAAAACTTCTTATCTACGCGACCAGAGATAAACTTGTACAAATCCTACGCAATTGCTTCCAGATGTTTAGTCTTTTAACGCAACAAATAAACAAAATACACGGTGATTGTTTAAATAAAATTAACAACTACAAATAATTCTGATACAAAAATGGACCTCGAATTCAACTAATATGCTCTTGAGAATTCCCCAAGTTATCTACACAATTAAATTGTAACTCAAGCTGTTCTATAAATGTAACTCTTGATTTAAACTATCAGTATGGGATAAGTCTGACTTGATTTAGTACTCCACATCCTATACCCTGGCCTTCGACTCTTTCTGCATATAGATTTGACTGCTGGGCATCGATCCCCCTAATGCATTTGCAGGCCACAAAAACTTACAAATTTCTCTACTTCCTCTATTGCTGTTTCGAAACGTGCCTTTTCCCATACTTGCCTACTGCCTGCTTATCCAGATGCACCTGGAACTTTTTGGGGACCGCGCTCATTATATACCTACACTAAAATATTAATTTTTTTCTTGTTTTGGCCAGCTGACCTGATACCTCTTCCTCCCATGCACCCGGGGTAGCAAAAGGCGAGTGTGACCACTTGAGGCTGTATCAATGTATTTGCATCTGCTTTATCTCGACCTTGTCATTGAATAGATAATTTTTTATTCAATGACCTTGTATGATTTCAACAAGACTTGCTACTCTAAACAATACTGCACAATTCTAGACCTTCTGGGTTTACATCTTATTGAAATCACTATAGGTTTTTAAAATTAAACTCATTTTAGTGTTTCTTCAGTAACATGAAATATTTTATTTTATTATATTTAGTCACGATGTACATAACTGACAGTATAATCACAAGCACTTAACAATACATGAAAATAGGCAAATTTACAAGAAAAGTTGAGGTAGTATTGACAATAAATATATGCATATTTTAATGCCCATCAAAAGTAATATCTATTAGTCAAATTAGGCCTAAAGTGGTGTGAAAGTAAGCTTGTTATAGTTAAAGGCATACATTTGGAATTATTGTGATGTGATGGAAGAGTTAAGCCAGTGCCCCTTTAGGGGTGTACACTGTACAAGCTTGTAATATTTGACACATTCTATACAATATCAAATTAATGGGTTTTTTTATTAACAAAATAGATTGTAATATAATATACACATAAATAAATACAACAAAAGTAAAAATGTGAAATTATAAACAAAACATATTATTTATTAATAGTTGATAAATTTAAGAATTTTGCGAGCTGCCTTCTGTGTGTAAATAAATCAATTGTCTTAAGGTGTTGGTGTAAATTTTTTACTATGCAATGAGCAAACGCGCTTGTTTATGTTCAAAATGTTTTTGGACTCTTGTCAACCCCTCAATAAATGGGGATTTTCAAAGGGCCTACCTTTCCCCTTTTTTTATTGTCAGACTATGGCGGTCCTAGAATATATGTTAAGTAGTATGAGTATGATATTTTTAAAGGATTGATTACATTAAGATTGTATTGACTTGATTCACCTGCGGTTTTACACTTTATAGAAGTCACAATTGTTGATTCCATTGCAACAACTCAAATCTCATTGAACAACAGGATTCAACACTGCACTGTAAAATCCTCACCAATACCTTAAATGGCTTGAAACTCACTTGCAAAGTATTCTTAAACCAATGCAAGTGTTTTCAATCCCTTTAAAGCTTACACCTTGTGTAATGCATTACATTTTCACAAGTCTTATGCGAATGAATTAATTACATATTACCATTGTTATATATTACCAAATGAGTGGAGTACAAAATTCTTGTATATAAATTCTGCAACTTTATATACTCAATCCTAATTGAAATGATAGAAAAATATACACATCGCCTATATACATATATACGATATATCTAGACATTTGAACGTTTTCCATGTCATCAGCTATTAAGTGTGACGTATCTATGTAAATTAAAAAAAAAACTATTTGCCATATAGCAATATTTTCAATTTATAATAATGAAATACAGTACAGAGTGTTTCAAATCTTTATTCCCACAAACAACCGAGTTATAAAACAAACACTTTTATTGCGTTTTTGTTTTTTTGCAATGTTGCCATGTTCGCGCAAGTCACACGTCACAATTGACATCGTCAATCTAGGCAGCTGCGTCACTCCATCTCTTAGTTCTAAAAATATTTCTGAAGAACATAAAAAATAAGCAATTTGGAACACCCTGTGTAGCTACACTAGTTCATTTGAATTCATTTTATCTACATTTAAACTTTACTAAGCTAAAATGCTAATATCACCACAATACCTAATGGCTACAATCACATTGACAGCTACATTCTTCTCAGCAACACATACAACAAACACCTTGTGTATTTACACCGTAACATATAAGTAGGTACTACAATAAATGCATTTATTCGTATGTACTTTATTTTTGCACCCCGGGAGGTAGGTCCATGTCAAAGACCATTGGATAATTTTTGGGGATGTAGTTGATGTCGCACGTTGAGGCGTTGATAAATATTGTGTATTCATCCGATGTCACACCATATCCTACAAATAAATTCTGCATTAAAGCTCTATTGATACGTTTCCAGAGTGTTGTTAAGCGTTTTAAAAAATGCAGCTAGTCTATTTGTGCAAATGCTCTTTGTATTACGATCATTTTGTTTACCATTTGTTTTTCTAACACATGATTTAAATCTGTACAATAAACATAAATGGACCATTAGTTTTGTCAGTGATTGTACAATAATTTGTTGCTATTGGTGAAAGTATATTTACACTTTGTATAGGTAGGTGAGTGAGTATAATGTACAAACGTAAAGTGACTGTGAAGCTCCAAATCTGCAGCTAAAACCTATACAATCTAATTTGCTTACCATTTTGCTTTTGTATCAAAAACTCCACTTAAAGCAGCATTTACAACTTTAACAAAAAAGAAAGCTGTAATTTTGAACGCACATCCAACACCTACTTACCTTCGTGAATGTGCCCAAAGACATGATATTTAGGCCGTACACGTTGCTGCACCGTCGACAACAGTTCCACACAACCGACGTGATCGCCATTTCTAACCAGATCGCCGTGGCCTAAGGGAGGACCGTGGGTTATTAATATGTCAGTGTCGTCCGGTATCTTATTCCATTTTGATAATAATGGCTTGCCTCGCGGTAAGTTAAAAGCCCATTTCCCGAACTCTGGTTGCCTTCATTAAACAAAACATTAACTTACAAATGGCTACTGGATTTTTTTGGGAAAGCAAAAAGACATTGGCCTATACGTCTTCTAGTATAAAAACAGTCACATGGACTAGATAGAGATATAGCATAATTTGCGTACTCACAGGGAGTAGAGACATTAGATTAAATTTACATGTAGCTCCTCTACGTCTTCGTTGATTTAAAATAATCAAAAGATGTACTTACCAAGGGCTCCCATATATTTTTATTCCATACACGACCACAGGCGAATCTTCCAAGTAAATGCAATTAGTTAAATATTGCGCGGCGTTCGAAGTTGCCGTGTGCCGTTCGGTAAACCTCGCGAACGGTTTCTTGATAATGTTCAGGCAGGTGACCAGATGGGACTCGGCCGAATTCGCGCTGCGCGTGGTGGGATTGAATATTTGCATGATATTTTCGCAGTTCGGATCGAAGCTTATCTCGTGATTGCCGGCTATTACGATTTTGTACTTGTGCGGTAAGGTGCCGAGCCACCTGTTGAACGTCTTGATCTCCTCGTCTCGGCCGAAACTGGTGAAATCGCCGGCGTGCAGCAGGACGTCCCCGTACGGTACTTTGAAGTTTAAATTGTGGGTCAGCGCGTGAGTGTCGCTCATGCAGACGAATCTGACTTTGTTTGGGGTGACGGCGTCGCTGGGGCTTTCCAAATGGATCGGTATCACTTTTTGCATGTGCCAAATGGAGCTCCATACGGCAGATGGATTGTTTGTTAAGGGATGAACGTTTATTCTAACATCGTCGTCCTCTTCCATCTCATTCACGAATGAAACACCTAAATAAATAAATCGCAAAAGTACACAATCATTTTCGTGCATTACCTCTATTCTACCAGGGTTCTTCTAAAATCCCTCGCATTTGTGCATCAAATAATGCTTGTTACATAAACTTGACATTGAATCAGCATATAATTTATGTCGTTAATGCAATTAACTTTTTCCATTCCAATAATACAGCAAATATAACACCTCCATTTTCGATCAGATGTGCGATCAGATGGAGATGACAGCTCTTGACTCTTGAGTGACAGCTCCACTGATTGACTATTCTGTGGCTAATATACCCCCCAAAAAAACGTAAGTTCCAAAAAACAGTTGCACTATAGTCAATTGTGTAAGCCACGTAACATTTATACCGGGTGTATATTCCAAAACCGAACATAAGGAATTAACATGGCAAAAAGGTTTTTTGCAGATCGTTGCTCCCCATTAACTTATTAGAGGGTTTATAATGAGACCAACCAAAAGAAGATTTTTTTTCTCTTCTAATGAGATACGAATTATAGTTTATTTTCAGGTTTGATCAAAAATGTAGCAATAAACCCAATTACCAAAATCATGTTTATTCATGACTAATATGACAAAAAGCAGATTCAAACGTTATTCAAGTAGAAATCAATCACTTAATCAGCACCTTTCTTTTCAGGTTCACGGTTGCGCGTCACCTTGCAATAGGTTTTTTGCAATAAAGGGGTTGATCGTCCCTTACATTACTTACAAATAATTCGAACAATTTTTTAAATGAATTGGTTCTCGGTATAGAAATTATTTGGGTCCACGGTTAGCTTTAATTCTATATTGATAAGACACACAAAAAATTTACTAGGGATTTCGAAATTGAAGCTTATTTCTTTCCCAGGGTGCAGGAAATAAATGCAAAAACAAACTCAATAAATTTTGCCAACAGTCACTTATGGCCGTTTGCACCGACACATTTAAGCCGAGCTTAGCTTAAGCGTAGATTAAAATCCATGGCAACCATTGTCTCAATAATCATTGCCATGGATTTTAAGCTATGCTTAAGCTAAGCTCCACTTAAATTTGTCAGTGCAAACGGCCATAACCGAATTTGGACACTTAAATGTCCAAACGAGTAACAGACTTTTTTTTTACTAATGTTCAAATGAATTTTTTTATTAATTTGGTTGCTAGTGATGGTAAAGGTCCTTTCACGAATCAAAAAATTTGTTTGTCCTAAGTTCCTAGTAAAATCAATTTCATCTTGTTTGCCCACAGAGAAATTAATTTGCGTTTAACCGTTCACAGTAATCCTTTGTTAATGCAATCACAAATTAACTTGGTGCAATATTTAATGTCGCACACGTCCTCGGTAGACTGGTTTATTTGTTTTTATTGCCTTCGTTTACTGACTATACCTGCGGTGATATTCATTAAGAAGTAGGCATACGCGTATTTTTTTTCCCTATGTCTACTTTTAAATGACAAAATCTGTTCTGAAAGGCGCCTATTTATGCAATCAAAATAACTTCTTAAAACAAATGAAGCTAGATCAGTTGTCATATTAATTAATTTGAATATTGTTGCTTTGGCTTCACCGAAAATAAATCTCTTTCGCTGTTACCGGAACTATACCAATTAACAACTTTGTCTTTAGTTGAATACTTCGCACACGAACGAAAATAAAAATAAGAAAGCCAAAGCAATAATATTCAAATTAATTAATATGACAACTGATCTTCATTTGTTTTAAGAAGTTATTTTGGTTGCATAAAGTTAGGCGCCTTTCAGAAGAGATTTTGTCATTTAAAAGTCGACATAGGGAAAAACAATACGCGTAAATTCCTATGCCTACTTCAATATCACCTTTTTTTAAGTTTGGGGATGGAAAACTTTTATCCTATCTCTTTTTGGTGCGTCACTTTGCATATAAATATAATGTAGGTAGGTACGTGGTGGGGTGGCCTGCACCTGTTCGTTTATCAATGTTGAAGTTTATGTAAGATTATGTATGTATCTAATTCATTTGCGAATGAATCGCCAGTAAGTGCGGTTGTATGTGTCCCATTCGTATGAAACGAGTTTATATTCCACGTGCAAAGGGGTGAGTTTTGAATTTTGATTTCCTTTACAAAATACTGGTAGCGCATTGAGAAGTTTTCAACATTTTCTTATGTATATACGTAATCCTTAGTTTAGGAGTTTTAGGGGTGAGAGGGGCACACTATTTTGAATTTCTTACAAATACTTCAAAGGAAATTATTCCCTCGACTAGCCCTCTATAATGAACTTGTTTTAGTAGCTAATGTAACGAAAGAATTTTTTGGATTTAAAGCCATCTAGGATTGGTATTAAGAAGGCACTAACCAATGAGAAATTAGACATCGCAATTTTAAGTGATAATCTGTGATTGTGGGCGATCAAATTTTATTCACTTAATTACTAAGAGCAAGATTTGCGTTTTGCCATTCGATCAATACCGTCTTATAGAAAGGAAAAATTCTTGTTTTGTCATTTGCGGAGATCAGTACGATCGTATAAAAAAGAAGGATTCGTGTTTTTTTAAGATTCAAAGCGACCAGTACGGTCCTCTCTCTAAGAGATTAGCGTGTTAATCTTTGGGGTGACCAGATAGTTTTTATGTGGTATCAACCGCGACAGATTTAGGGCCCGTTTTCAAAAAGTTAAACTGCGTTGAGGGAAAATCATAAGTCCAGAAATTTATGTAGGTAAGCTTAAGTTCGTAGAGAAATGTAGTGGTTTCGTGGGTAGAAGCGCAAAGAGTATTACCTTTGGTTAAAAAAATAAAAGTTTCGCCTTTGGTGTTAAAAGTGCGTAATGCAGTTTGGTTAAGTTCGTTTTTCTTAAGTAGGAAATTATCGCATGAGGAAATATTTAACCAAACGAAAAGAAACAAAAACTTTCCCTTTTTGTTTAAATATTCGAAACTTTCCATGGAGTGTACAAATTCCAAGGAGTAGTCGTTTAGTCACCTTGATCCCAAATTTGTAAAGAAGTGGAGATTGATTGAGTTTGGTTGTAAAAATATATTGTCGTGAATATCACCTTGGAATTATTATTTCTTAAGCAGGAAATTGCACTCAAAGATTCAAGAAAAAAGGGAAAGGAACCGTTTCTCAATCGGTTTATCGTTCAATAATTGATTTATTATTAGACTTAACTACAAGTACCTACATTGAATTCACCTACCATATTAACTATTTGACTAGTAACTAAATTCAAACTATATTTAACACTAAGTAACTTTTTAGGTGCTAACTATTGTTTAAAAAAGATATATGGGCAACTGACTTAGATGCTTCAGTGTCAATTTCTAAATGAACTAGATTTCCTTCAACACTTATCTTATTATATCTTATCTTAAAAGCTTCTTTATCATTCATCAAACCACCGATGCGGTGTCTTCTACCATGTTGATTTTTTACTTTTTGCATTCTCTGCTAGTGTGTCGTTTAACTCTGCACGTAAAACATAGCCACGTTGGACTTAATTTTTCTTAAATGGCAGTTCAAGATGTACGGAGTCTTACAAATTCAGTAAAGGAATTGTAGTTCAGTAGCTCGGTTTTTGAATAATTAGTTTAAATAGAATAGGTAGGTACAATTGCGCCATCTCCTTGGTAATTCATACACTTTCTTCATATTATAGTTTAACAAGTCTAGTTGAGATGTCACCACGTACCAAACTCCTTCAGAAATAACATTTAAATGTATGAGATTAATAGCCAAAGCAACAATATTTAAATTAATTAATATGACAGTCAGTTATTTTGGATGTATAAAATCAGGCGCCCTTCAGAGGAGATTTGGTCATTTAAAAGTAGACGTAAGGGAAAGCAATACACATAACTGCCTATGTCTACTTCTTAATAAATATCACTGTATGGGCCCTGCATTTGATGCAGATGGAAAACTTTCATATTTTTCTGATGCGGCACTTTGCATATACCTAAATGATAATGGAGGTGGGTAGGTACGTGGTGAGGTGACCTGCACCTATTTGTTTAACAACACTGCAGTTAACGTATGTTTAGCGGACAACGCAAAATAAAATGCTGTCTAGTCGAGTAGATAGATTTATTTACAATATATACAGGTGCCTGCGTGCTGAAGATGAAACGGCGGAGTTCCGTAAGAGGCGGCGCTACTGGTCAGTATTGCGGCTGGTACTGGCTACAGGTTCGGCTGGATCGGAAGATGTTGCAGCGAAGTGCGATCGAAGACTACTGCCTTGTGCTCTATTTTTTGGCGATCTGGAGCGTGAGCGATGTCTCTTATGTGTTGGAGGTCGGAGTTGTCCATCCTTTGATAGATTTTGTCGGCCAGCGATCGGGTGTGTTCTGCGAGGGTGTCTATTTGCAGGTCCTGCCTGATGGTGGTGTTGGAGACGAAAGGGGGCTCTGGTTATCGTGCGCAGCGCGATGGATCGTACCGCTTCCAGTGCGGTGGAGTTGGACTTCGAGACATACGCCTGGAGGCGTATGTCAGCACGGGGCGAACGTAGCTCTTGACCAGGTGTACCTTCGTTCTTGGCGCCAGCGCTGGGGATGATAGTAGAGGGTACAATCTGGATCTTGCCCTCCGTCCTTTGGCGATCGTGTCGGCTACGTGTTGGGTGAAGTTTAGTCGCCTGCCGATTTGGACTCCGAGGTACCGAATGGTGCCCGCCCATTCCAGTCTCTCTCCGTCCATCCGTAGCTTCGTGAACTCGGTCGTCTGACGACTGGTGAACATTATGGCTTGGGTCTTGGAGGGGTTTAGTCTAAGCCGCCAGCGGCCTGTCCAACGCAGCGTTTCCTTATGCTCGCCTGTTTCCAAACTCGCAAGGAACTGAAAGAATTTGTCACAGCTTACCTTCATTGGCAGCAAAGTTTTATGAAGAAAGTATTCACTTATGTGACAAATGCCCATTCGTCAGGGTGAGTAACCTAGATAATACATTCTTTTTTTGGTTTCCACTTCGTTTGAGATCGTTCCTCGGAATACCGTAGTGCAATTACTACAATTGGATTGAGCACAAGGCGTTGGGGTCTACCTATATATTCGATGGTGGGCCATCTGCATTACTACAAGAAAGACCACTTGTAAGTTAAGGTAGACAACTTTGTATCTACTACATTACAAGGGTAGGTACTTCCTGAAAAGGGATGAACATTGCTTTCTTTTATTTCCTCCCTTCCTAAATAAACAATAGTAGGTACATAATATATACCAAGGGACTAAAGTGTGCGTTTTAATCCCCAAAGGGGCCTTCAATAATTCGCAATAATCGCAGG